CTATTTTATAATTGTAATTATAGTATTTATTGATTTATTAATTATATATTGATTGATTTAATTTATCAAATTAAGAAATTTTTTAAATTTTAATAATTTTAATATGAATTGAATTGAGAGTTATTTAAAGTTAATAATAACAACATAAGTATAGTTAATTTAGCTTGTTAAATTATTTTTAAATTAAAATTGTATTAAATAAAATAAAATGTTTTTATTAGATATCACTTAGTGATTTTTAAGACTATCTATATGTCAACATTTTAAGGCGTTCACATATGATTTTTTTCATTTTTGCCAATAGCTTTGGCTTTTATATATTTGTATAAGAAAATTAAATGAAATCATATTGAATGAAATATAAATGTATCAATCAAATATAAATTAATAAAATATTTTTTTCCATTAATTTAATTATGAAAAATTAATTTTATATATTTGCTTTATATAATTACACATGAAATACATCATGAAATATATCAATTACTCAAATGGATACTATATTTAATCAAATATAAATGTATCAAACAATTAATTAGAGAATCAATTATTTTATAATTGTAATTGTAATATTTATTAATTTATTAATTATATATTGATTAATTTAATTTGTCAAATTAAGAAATTTTTAAAATTTTAATATTTTTAATATGAATTGAATTGAAAGTGATTTAAAATCAATAATAAAAACATAAATATAATTAATTTAGTTTTTTGAATTATATTTGTTTTATATATTTACACATGAAATACATTAATTATTGGATACTATATTTAATCAAATATAAATGTATCAAATAATTAATTAGAGAATTAACTATTTTATAATTGTAATTGTAGTATTTATTAATTTATTAATTATATATTGATTGATTTAATTTGTCAATTTAAAATTTTTTTAAAATTTTAGTAATTTTAATATCAATTAAATTGAGAACGACTTAAGGTTAATAATAAAAACATAAATATAATCAATTTAGTTTTTTGAATTATTTTTAAACTAAAAATGTATTAAATAAAATAAAATATATTTTTTAGATGTCACATGACGATTTTTAAAACTGTTCACATGTCAACATTTTAAGTCGTTCACATAGGTTGTTTTCCATTTTTGCCAAAAGCTTTGGCTTTTATATATTTATATAAGATTTTAAAATTTATATTAAAAAAATTTAATTTCAAATATTTTCCTTTCATATTTGCATATCTAATTGAATGGTTCTTTTTAAATTAAATATTTTATTTCCGTAATCATTTTGAAACTTAAGTAAAAATGAGAAAGATGGATAATTTTTGAACATATGAAGTTATTAAATGATACGTATTAATTGCTATTAATTAAGAAATGGTGTACTTAAATAGATTTTGAAGCAATTCACTATTTGATTAGCATGCCATAAAAAAAAAAAATTTTGATTGGCATGATATATTATTCAAACAAAAACTTTTATAATTTGAAAATAATAAAATAAATACAATTCTATTGTTGTCTTTCTTTAACGTGTTTGACATAATATTAAATGACTATTACTTCCAACTTACTTATGAGTCAACTATTTCAATTTACATCTTACCTTAAGTAATTACTTCAAATCTCATTAGGACTATGGCATTTGTTAATAAGACTATGGCATTTAGAATCATATAGCATTTTTGTTAAAAAGACTATGGCATTTACAATCATATAGCATTTTTGGTAAAAAGACTATGGCATTTACAATCATATAGCATGATGATAACATAAAAAAGTTTGAAAGTGAATCCAACCAAATTCTTGGGCCATCTATATCAACATTTCAATTTGGATAAACTACGTGATAAAGTGTTTGCTCTACTCCTCATATGCTAAAAGCTGCAAGTAACATAACTTTGGCGAATTCAACAACATCATGCTCTATTTCATCCGTTTAAAGGGTAACATTTAATTTCAAAAGCAATTGCTTTCATTTTTGCATGAAAAAAGTTTGTCGCATATTCCCTTATGTGTTTTACATCACCACTTACTATCTAACCATTTTATCATTTTCATAAAAAACTGAATCAAAATTAATTTAAGAATTTTTGTAAGTGGAGGCATCCAATTGATTTTATTCACTTCATTCACACAGATAGCTCTATAATCTTATATTATCTTATTTAAAGCATTATACATGCTACTCACTAACATAGCCAACCTTTTAAAAATAATTGTGAGTAATATCAATAAAAGGGGCACAATCCAGACCATTTAAAATGGCAACATTGAAGATTCACTTCCATTGTCAAATTTACTACTTCAAAGTTTGACCACCAAAATCAGAATCACAATTCCAAAAATTAATGACTATATAGTTATATAAGATTTGCACAACTTAAATAAAACATAATAAAAAAGATGACATAATGGAAATAAGCATCATAAACATATATATGACTAAATTAAATAATAAAAAATACAAATAGCACCAAAGGAAGTAAATAAGAAACAAAATGAAGCAAAGAAAGAAAGAAAAAAAAGAATTAGAGATCTAGCAAACTTTGAAAGCCAATACTCTAATGCATGAAAACAAACCTATTTGTAATGTTGAAGTTGGATATCTAAAATTAAGAATTTAATTTAATTAAGAGTGATTTAAGGTAAATTGAATTGTAACTTATTTATTTATAGAATTAAAAATGAATATTTACAAAATATACGATTTTGACGTTTAAATCAAGTAATAATAGAGTTAAAAGTAATTAGAAATTACCAAAAATAAATATGATATAATATATATGGTTTTGAATTTAGATTGGTTGAAAAGAATTAAATTGAAAGCAATATATATGGACTTCAAAAAATAATATTGAGCCTTAAAATTAGGAATTCTAAAAGATAATTAAGGTGATAATTGATATTGATTTAGTTAAATGTTTGAATTTAAATTAATTATCATGCATTAAAATAAGTACACAATTGTTTTATTATTCTTTCGCAGGTGGCAATCTAATCGAATAGTGGATTTTGCAATTGATGTATGTCTAACAATTGTTTTATTTGCGTATATCTTTGTAATTATAATGTCTTTCTTTTTTAGCTGGAATTTTTTTCCTATTTTATAAATGAATGCATTGAAAAAAAAGTTAAAAGATCTAAAGATTCTTGAGAGCATAAGGTGAGTAAACAATTGAAATAGTTTTTAATCATTAATTAATTTATAAAATCTATACTTCTAATTTGTGTGTTACATTGTAAAAGATATTCTAAACTTCCTTTTTTTTTTTTTTTAATATTTTGTCTACTTGAATCTTCATATTTTTTTTATATATTTTCCTTTTGTTTATGTTAGATTTACTATTTTCTTTGATCAATTAATAAAAATATTATTTCAATTACTTGCAAAATAAAAATCTACAAGCCTGCCTGATTTAAAAAATCTTCAAATGTGTTTGAAGAAATTGTCTTCCTTTTCTCATATTTGGAAGACAATTTCCAAAGTGTCTTCATTTGTTTTCCTTTGACAAAAAGACAAAAAAAAACCAGAAAATAACTTGTATAAGCCATTTTCGTTGGTTACCAAAAGGTGCTTGAGTTAGATGTCAAGTATTATAGATTTTTAAAACAATATTTATAGTTTGAGTTAAACTAACAAATTTTATTCAATAATAAATCCATATTTGTTGTTGATTCTATCTACTAAATTAAGGTTATGTTTGGTGAATAGAATGATGGATAGGATAAATTGATAATTATCCTATATTATGTTTAATTTGTATATAAAGAAAATGATAAGATTATAAGGAAGATTATTATCTTTTTTGTATAGGATGATTTAATTCTCTTAAAATGGAAGGGATTATTTTTAATCTATGGGATTGAACTTATATGTCCTTTTATACTTTTTAAAATTACATTAATAATTTAAATTATATAAATTTTAAGAAAAGATAATTTTGACCAATGACGGATTTTTATCTTTAATTTTGAAGGGCCAAAATCATTTTTTATAATAATTTTTTTTTCAAAATATATAAATCTATTAATAATAAAAAAAATGAAAACATATAATAACAAAACTTAAATTTATAAGTAAGCTAATATGTAAATATATTAAACATTGATCTCACAATTTCTAATTATAAATCACTAACAATATTCTTTATAAAATAAAATCATTATATTTTTTTACAATATTAACATATTATTTTGTCATATTTAATATTTAAAGTATTAAAATGAAAAAAATAACAAAAAAATATTTTTTAATAAATTAAAATTTAAAACAATAAAGTAAATACTTTGATATATAAATTAAAACCTTATAATTTTTTACATGATATTTTTACATTATGAAAAATAAAAACGTATTTAAACTAATCATAGTAATTGTTTTGATACATAACAACTTTCAAATAAAATAAGCATGTAAAATATAGTAAAAAATTGATTGAAAAAATGAATCACAATTGGATATTTTTCAAATTGGTTTTAGTTATTATAATACTTGTATATATATTAAACTTAAAATTACATATTTGTAAAATTTTAGTGTTGACAAATTTGTTATTCATTTTAAATTGAAAAATATTTATAATAGGTAAACACAAGTTAAAGAATTATATATATTTTGAAATTAAGAGTTGTAATATTTAGATACAAATAATTTTTGTAACTATATATCCAATATAAATACTTATATAAAATAAAGAATAATATACATTAACACAATAAATTTAAGTTTGAAGGGCCAAACTAGTTTTTTTATAAAAAAATTTCAAAATTATTATGAAAATAACATATATATATAAAAAAATCAAAATTTTTGGGTGAGCCTTTAAACCATCTGTCAATGATTTTGATCAATATATAAATTATTTTATTTTAATTCTTGCATATATTAAATATAAGATAAAATGATATTATTTAATCTAATCATATTCATAATATCATTTGATTTTATCTTAATCATAATCTTGTTCACCAAACATTACCTAAAATTGTTAAGTTGAATAAAAACTCTATTGTATAATTTGGTCGTGTTACCATGGTTCTAATATATAAGATTTGATTATTGCCTCCCATATCGTTCCAGATTTCTTTTGCTTTGCTCTGCTGAGCTTATTAGATCTACAAGAATTCCCAATTTTTACGATCTTGCATATTTCCAATTGTTGTGGTTGGAACGGGAGCTAAAGTGTGAGTTGCCCGCATGCTGTTAGAACTAGAAAATTGTTTCTAGTCTCAGAGTAGTTCTTGATGGAATATCAGCCTCGGTCATCTAAATTCAACACAAGTATTGAATTTGGAGTAAAAAAAAAAAAAGTTGAGATCTAAAGATTCTTAAGAGCATTGGTTTTATCAACAATAAACAGCAACTGTTTAAGTTAAGCTTTCTTGTTCTTCATTGGTTTCTCATACTCCTTGAAACTTTTTACAGCATAATTAAAAAAATCAAAAAGAAGATTTCTTTGCTCCCAGTCCTTGCATAATTGGAAAGCAATGATTGAAACAATTTTGATCTTGTTATCAGAAAAAAAAAACCTTTGCATCATCATTATTCTTAATAAAAAGTACCCCTACAACCAATTCGGAACAATTAATGAAGGGAAATGAACAAACGCAATCTGGGTAAACGAGTTCGGCCTTTCCCCAGGGGAAATGGAAAGCAATGCTTCATATATGTTTAATCCCGAGAGTAACAGGTATGAGTTGGAAATCTTGTGTTTTTCCATTGGCATTAATGTCGAATATCCTACCCCTGATTGCAATATAACCATTCTGAATCATCTATTCCTATAGCGCATCACATATATTTGCCCTGACTTGACTTGCAGTAGATTTGAACAAATTTACAACAAAACATTAACCAGCTGAAGCAAATAAAGTACCCACAAAGCCAAGGTTAATTTAATTATTATGTAGTAAATTATGCAAGATTTGATGAAGTTCATGACCATGATACATGCCATTAGCACCATTACATTCTCGAGGCTCACAATTGTTTTCCCTGCATCTAACGTATTCCGTCGATGATGCAAACAAGCATGAAAACAACCACATTGCCATAAGCAAAATGAAAACCCCAAAGAATCTTAATTCAAGAATTTTTAATTTGTATACTAAAGAATGCTGCTCAATAAATGTAACCAAAAGTTCATATAAATAAAAAAAGCCACTAAAAAAGTATTATTTTCAAATTTTGACATTGACAATTTTAGGTAGCAAAAAAATTGTCACTTTTGCTTCATTTCTTAAAAAAAAAAAAAAAAAGAAATTAATGTACCTTATTATGTAGAGAAATAATTAGCATCCACAGTTGACAATGCTACTTCAGTGGCTTCAAACCCTGTGGACCTCCAACACAAAATTCTAAATTCAATGACATAAATTCTTTTAATGCTTCTCTACCAACTAAGATCATATAGATAATTACTCTAACCAAATAAAAAAATCTCTACTTATTTGAGTGGTTTAAATTTACTAGTAATCTTTTGATTAATGAAATTTTATCACCGTATTACTAATTGCTGAAGAATATTTCGTTAAAAACTATTTTAAAATTCAAAATATAATTTTAAAAATACAAATTTTCCATCATATTCTAATTTTGAAGCAAATTGATCACTATACTTTTAATTTGGATTACAAAAGTCATGATTTGACTTTACATTTAATAGAATGCCATGATGAAAGAAGAAAAACAAGGAAAATAAAAAGAAAATTTTGGATTACAGATTCATGCTTATTTTTCCCAACCATGTCATTTTCAAAATTCTTTCTCTTCTTAATTATAAAACAACTTCTGCCGATATATTTTATGAAATTTCTCAACTATTACATATTGATCAAATTTGCTTCAAAGTAGAAGTATGGTGGTAAATTTGCTCCAAAATTAAAAGTATAATAATGGTAAAATTAAAATATTTGAAAGATTAGTGGTATTTGAACCACTCACATAAGTATATTCGTAAATTTACACTTAATTCCTAAAATAAATGAACCACTAAGCCATCAAATTCCATTACATGGCGAGGCCAGCACAAAAAAGGCATGAAAAAGAAAATTTCAAAATGAAAAGGGGAAAAAGAACGAAAGCAACTATTCAATAGAAAGCATATAACCCCAATATGAAGCATCTAGTTAGCAAATCCCTTTTATGCACAGCAACTTTTCCTCACTCAAAGACAATATAGTTAGCCAAATTTCAATCCTTATATGCTCAATATTCAAATAACATAACTAAAAAGACAGATAAATCTCACTATTAGTTCTTTGTAACTACTGAAGAGTCTAAAATTACCCTACTTATATGCTCCTATTAAATGGTGGACTTCTTGAATGCTGATCACCCATTTTTAAACAATCTCAGTCTATATCTATGGAGGGGGCTCTTAACAGTTTGGTAGTCCTACCATTATAGAAGCAGGAACAACCAAAGAAGCTTATTCCTAATAACTCAAACTAAGTCTAAAGGTTGTTATCCCACTTTAAAATGGTTGAGCTTTAATGGTCAAATCTATAGTCCCCGTTTTAGACTTACCCAAAAGTACAAAAAATAAAAATGGAAAAAGAAGCTTCTTCTTTGGCATTTAGTCATAAATAAAGAAAAGATGGCCATTCCGGGTTGTTGAAGGTTCATGTCACTTTGAGTTTTCATCGCTTCAGTTCAAGTCTTTCTCAGGTTTGGGTTTTGTCATGTTCAAGTTGCCTCCAATTATGTTTTTCTCAACTTTTGAATCATTGACTTTTTTCAATCAATCTGAGTCTAATTGAGTTCTGTTCCATGCAGTTTTTCAGTTCCGGTCAAAATTTCCACTTCTAACTATTCATGATATTTTGTGCTATAAGGTGCTATAGGCGTGAATTTTTTTAAAAGATTTCTTCCTATTTACTTAACAACTTCAAGTTTTAGTTGTTGAATTGCTTTCATTGCTCTTACTACTATCAAATCATTCTTAGAATTATTGATGTTATTATCAATAATGTGTTCAGTGAACAAGATAATCAGTCAATACAAATAGGAACGAGAAAAGGTTGGGAATAGAGCAAAAACAGTGACCAAGTATAAGGAACAAAATACTAGCATACTGCATGGTTAAATAAAAATTTCCCCATTTCTTTGAGTTCAACAAGTTATTTCCGTGATAAAGGAAAAGAAAGAAACAAACAAAAATCATAAATCTTGTAATAGTTAAGTGTTCTACCTTGGAAGCTCTCAGCTCATTAACTGCCATCCATAGAGAACCATCTGATAGTATTAACCGTGACAGTGCCCCTGTACTCATCCTGCAAAATTAGAAAAAGGATAACTGTAATGCGGTCTGATGTGTATGCTAACTAACCTATCAAGCAACTCATCTGAAGAACAGTTAGCAATAAGACGCTGAAACTTGAATTATGCAATTCTAAGCTCATAAGCTCAATTATGTATAAGGATTAAAGGTGTTTTTCTTTCCAGACCAGTTTCCCCCTTTAAAGAGATTCATTATATTCCTGAAGGGATGGCTATCAGTCTCTACTGTCAAAAATAGAAGATAGATTTTGACTCATTCTTGTGTAACCAGAAGAGAGCACAGGCGCAATAGATGAGTCAGGTGAAAATGAGTCGGAAGGAAGGTAATGGAAGTAACAGAGGCTTCTTAAACTATAGGTAAAGATGTAACGCACCCCAGAAACTTTGCGGCTTCAGATACAGAACCTTCAACTGCAAAGATTAGATCCAGAAGAGCCTGCATGCCCTGTAAACTATAATTAAATTAAGGCGGCAAAAGAGACAAGAAGAAAAAAGAAAAAGTGCGAGGACAGATACCAAAACAAATTTAGGATTATTGGGTCCAATTTGGGGACCAGAATGAGACGCCCTGAGTGTTGAGTTTGGAGGAAGAATTTGAAGAAGCTCTGCAGGAGGAGAATATGTGCGGAGAGGGACGGGATTTCTGACTTCATACCAATCAAACAGCAGTTAGAATTAAAGAAGCCAAGTTTTTTCTTGGAAATGCAGAAAATGAAAAATACCTTTGAGAGCGATGAGAGTGCGAAGGCGTGCTAAGGCAGATGCACGATTCTTGTGCTGTGATCGGTCTTCAACAGCCTACAACATGTGATATTATATCAATTTTATTTATTTAATTTTTCAAAAGAAAAGGAGAAAAGAAAAAGAAAGTAATCGCGTTGACCTGAGCAACAATACCGGTGGGAAGGTGCTTGATTCGAACGGCGGACTCTCGCTTGTTACGGTGCTGTCCCCCTGGTCCCGACGCTTTAAAGGTTTCCATCTCGCACTGTCGCATCAGCTCTTCATCCCTCAATTTTAAGTAACTATCACTGTTACTATTACTGCAGTATAATTGCCATCCTCTTCTCTTTAGAGACACGAAGAAATTGCCTGATGTCGATGTCGGTGCCGCCTTAACCAACAAGGAAACGCCATTACCTCTCACAATATGATCAACCGATTTCATCACATTCACAAATCCACCGCCCATTGCCGCGGTTGCCATTTCCGCTTCTCACTCAATTGTATCTGTATCTGTTATACCACAGCCAGCCGGACACAGTAGCAGGAAGGAAGCGTTTTTATTTTATTTATTAACTTTTTTTTAGAAAAAAACGTGTCTATCTGTTAGGGCAAAACGCTGCGTTTCAGCAATCTCGGTTTAAAATTATAAAACCGACGAAAAGTGAATACTATTGAATGGGAGAAGGAAGAGTCTGGAAAGCGCAAAGCATAATCGCGGAAAGGTTCTTCATTTGTTGATAAATAACTTCAATTGGAATTGGAATTGGAATTGGAATTGGAATAATAAAAGAAAGAAGAAAGTGGATGGACGGCGGAAGATGGAGAGGCGGAGGGGGAGGTGTTTCTCGGGGGCTGCTGCCGCTGCTGGCTGTTCACGCCGTCAACGAATACTACAGACTGCCGTGGAAGCCCCCTGTCACCGCCGGCCTTCTGGCTGCTAACACACTCATGTATCTAAGGCCTTCTTTCCTGGATTCTCTCCTCCCTTCTATCGATGAGGTTTGGTTTAATCCTCATCTCATTCTCAAGGTATTCTTGTATTTTACTTTTCTAATCTGGTTCTATTAATATTGTACAAAGAAAAGAAAGGATAGAGATATAAAAGAAATTTCTTGTCTCATGCTTTTGAAGTTTAGCGTGCTATTTGGAACAACACCTCTTTAATTAGATTTTACAAAACGTGTCTGAAATTCCTTTAAATACCTTTGGAATTTTTCAAATTGGTCCACTTCAGTTGCCAAATGCATCATGTTTTTTTTTCTTTGTAAGACTTAATCTTAAAAGAAACCCATAGGGAAAAATCTTAATGCAAATATTCCTAATAAACAATATAGTCTAGTAAAACCCTAAGGCATCAGAAATGGTATGTCCCAAAAAGCAGTAGTTTCAAATGTAAGTCTAATCCCATATACCCCCCCCCCCCCCCCCCAACCTAGCCATAACTCTTTACACCTTTGTTTTATGAGACTAAACTGAAGATATGCTGCTAATCATGGCATTAATCCCTTTTACTGACCAATCTTCAATTTACTCCGATGGTTTGTGAGATCCATGGTTTACTATTGGAAATTAGCAACTTTAGGACATGTGCACGAGTAATCATAATAATACAAAAATAATGCATCTACGAGTTCATAAACATATTAAGACCCTGCTGAATTAACATGTGCATGGTTGCTTTATGCAAGTGTGGCAAACAGCTTTTTTTTTTTTTTCAAATTTTCTTGGTTTCGTATTACACGTCATGCCTAAATTTGCTACATAAACCAACTGTTTTTCTTCTCGTAGCATGTTTTAAATCTACTTCATAAATATCCCTCGTTTTTTCCTTATGTTTTGCCAACTGTTGAAAGGCAATACCTCATTCTCGCATCCTCACGAGATATAAGTTATATTAATCTCCAGATCCATAATTTTACTGTACCAGGCATCATAGGCACTTGTATATTCCATATTAATCTGATGTCATTTTCTTAGTAGGTAATCTGTTTTCATTTTTATATCGTGCAGAACAAAGACATGAAACGCTTCTTCCTATCATCATTCTACCATATTGGTGAATCTCACCTGGCCTACAACATGATGTCGCTCTTATGGAAGGGGATCCAATTGGAAACTTCAATGGGGAGCTCTGAATTTGCATCTATGGTCGTTGTTCTCCTTGGTATGTCACAAGGTATCACTTTGCTACTAGCTAAATCCCTTCTCTTGTTCCTTGATTACAAGAGAGCCTATTACTCTGAATATGCTGTTGGATTTTCGGGTGTCCTCTTTGCCATGAAAGTTGTCCTCAATTCTCAGTCAGAAGACTACACTAATGTGCATGGACTTACTGTACCAGCCCGTCATGCGGCATGGGCAGAATTGGTTCTTATTCAGATGTTTGTACCTGGTGTCTCATTTCTTGGCCACCTTGGTGGTATACTTGCTGGGATGCTCTATGTAAAAATGAAGGGTTCATATTCTGGTTCAGATCCATTGACTATGATAATTAGAGGGCTCAGTAGTGCGTTAAGGTGGCCTCTAAGGTTTATAAGGGACATGTTTCGGTTAAGGAGACGGAGAATATCTGGCAGGGGAACTACTGGTGGCATATGGAGATGCCAAGCATGTACATATGATAACTCCGGTTGGTTAAGAATTTGTGAGATGTGTGGAACGAGTCGAAGCAGCAATGGTGGGTTATCACGACAAGTGTCTCGTGATTCTCGTCATCTTCCTTTGGAAGAATTACGTCGCCGAAGAGTTGAGAGATTTGGTTGATGAACAAGTATTTTCTTTTAATTTTGGTTGCAAATAAATGTCAGTCTTTGAATTATAAAAACAGAAGATTGGATTACCATTTCTTAAAATGTTGGCTATTTGAATTGTTTCCCTCCATTCATATTGATGTTCAATCTGCAATGGTTAATGATAATTTCTTACATCAACATTTCCAAGCCTGGATTTTCATCATACTATGAACAACCCAAATATGTTTCCAAGCCCCTTCATCCGTTACTCTCTTTGCCCTTAATTTAATTAGGATTCTGTTTCGATGAAGTTACGCAGATAATGCTAAAAATAATATGTTTGATTTGAATCTAAATACATAATAATATAAGTGTGAGCTGTAACATTGCTTTTCAAAAATAAAATAAATATTATTGATTTATTAATAAAAAATTAAGTGTCATTATATCCATGACCTTAATTTTGAAAGAAAAAAAAATCAATACAGATAACTAATAAAATAATTCATATCTAATAAATTTTGATTTATTTTGACTCAAATATGTACAATTATTTTAAAAATCTGGGATCAAATTAAGTTTTTTTTTTTTTTCCTTTGAAACTTAGATTGAGGTTGGAGTTAGTGGGGGTAGAAGTGCCAAAATAATCCGTATCCCATAGTTTTAACTTCTATATATATAATGATGATATTTTTAAAAATAAAAAATGAGTTAAGTCAAAATGATCGATATTAGGTTAAAATTGAAATGAATATAAATTCACCTTTATTCGATCCGATACTGTTGCTAAGTAAAAGTGTCTATGTGACATTTTTATTTGAGTTTTTTTTTTTTTTGTAGTTTTTCTTTTGTTTTTAATTATTTATTTTAATATTTTTTAATTATGTTTGAAAAAATAAATTTGAAAGAATGAATTTGATTTGTTATATAAATTATGATAATGAAATAAATATATTATTCATAAATTAGTTGATGAATTTTCACTAATCATTACTTTTATTAAAAAATTATAAACAAAATTATGTATTAATTTATTAAATTTAATATTATTAACTGTTAAAAAAAATTGGACCATAGCAAAGCACGGGAGAGCACGTTGCTAGTTTCTATTAATTTTGACAAAAATCAAATTAATTTTAATATTTTTAAGCTTTGATATTAACACATTAACCAATATTCTTCATTTAAATAATAAATAATATGATTAAATAATAACTTATAATTTACAAATATATTGGATTTCGCTAAATGAAATTATATAATTTTTAAGTCAATAAAAAATATAAATTTTAGTTCAATAAAAATTTTAAAGAAAATAACGGTGACAAATTCGATCCAAGTTTTTTGAAAATCCCAAAATACTACCCTCTAGGCTTGATATGCTTTTAGTCGACCAGGAAAGTGCAACACAAAAACTTGATCTCACTGCTGCAAAACCTGAAAGGGCAAGCAACCAAACCCGATCTATCCACCATAAAACCTTTAAGCATAGCACCAAAACCGGATCATCCCGCCATTAAACTTGAAGTGCAGCAACATGACCTGAACAGCTTCCCACCATTAAAACAAAAAAAAAAAAAAAAAAGGTGAATGTGGCTCCAAGGATAGAAGCCAAAAGACAAAAAGCAGCAAGGCTAAGGACAAAGCATACAAAAGCAGAGGCTTATGAGAAGCCTGAGATGGCCGAGATCAAAGAATGGTAATCATTTATTGGAGCCTATTAAGTAGTAATCATTTAGTACTAACCAATTAGTAGCAACACATTAAAGCGAGAAAGCAACTCAACTGCATTGAAACAACAAATGCAATGTCGAAACATAAAAATGTCCATCTTCAATTCAACAAGCAATTAGTATTATATCATCTTCTTCACTAACAGATAAATTATACATATGTGAAGTTAAATAGCAATATACTAATTGGAGATTTCTGCAAGCACATAGATGGTTTAAGTAAATAATAGTGATCGAAATCAAGATATCATTCTTATAAGAATTGGTTAAAAATCCAGACTAAGTACCTCTTATTGGCATAACCATTCTAAAGTTAATTCCAATGTATACAAGAAGCATTACTAATCTAAGCTCAACACAAAAGTAAAAACAAGGAAGTAAATTGCAATAACCGAAAACATACTAAGCACATGTAAAGAAAGCATGCATGAAATCCTAAGAAAAACAGTAACTAAATTTCATTAATTGAAATCAAACATCAATGAAAAGTGATTCTAAACTAATGAACATGAATTAGAAAGCTAAAATTAAAACAAAACAGCAAGTGAAAATATTGAATGTGAAAATTAAATGTTAACCTAACTTAACTACCTAAACTGAAACTATAACTATTGGACTTCAAATGAAAATGCATTTCAATTCTAATAAAAAATTTCCTAATACAGAATCTTAGATGCAAGAACATTAATGAAACAAGAATTCAATAGAACTTAAATTATTCAAGAGAAAATGCAGAGGAAGATTAAAATTTTGCAAAATCCAAAGTAATTTCAAATTTGGAAATGCAACAATTTCGAAATTAGAACCTAGATCTACAATCCTAATGTGTAAATGAACTTAAGATGAGCTAAGAGAACTTAGATCTACAAGTCAACTACAAGTTCAAACAAAGAAATCAATCAAAACAATGCATTAACAGGCCCGATAAACTTCTGCAAAAATCAAGTGCAGAAAATGTAAAAACAGACCAATTGAGAGAAAATTAGCCAAATAGCCCTATAAAACATCAGATTCAAAGCAACGAAATGAATTAAAGCAAGTAAACAAATAAAATAACAAGCTTAAAACACGGAGAGAATGGACTGAATGCCAAACAATGAGAGAAGACTCATTTGCTGTCACCACTTGCTACCAAATCTCCAACCAAAATTTCTAAGATTTTTAGAAAACTTTGTAGAATGAATTTGCAAGTGAAACTTTCCAGATTTTAAGTAATATGAATTGAGAGTTTGGAGAAAAAAATTGGGTTCAAAACTCACAAGAAATCTTAAAAATTTGATATGAAAACCGAATGTAGTGCAGTGCTGAAAATAGCCAAACAACATTGAGAAAGTAATGGAAAAGCTTGAAATTATGCAAGAAAACTTAAAGATAAGTAAATTGCATTGCTTGAATCTTAAAGTGCATGAAAAATAAATGCAAGAAAAGTAAATTTTTTTGAAAAATTAAAGGAATTTTCTCCCAAATATCCTTTTAAAAGAACAAGGAGGAAATGCTTGAGAGAAAATGAACAAGAAAAGTAAATGAAAGGAATGTACATTCTAAAATCTACTCTAAGCTCACTCTTTAATCTCAATCCCTCGTTGGCTAGCCACTACTCCAATTTATAGGCCAAGGATGATGTGTTCCAACCAATTAAAATATAGAAAAATGCTAGCTAGGATGCCACATGTACAAGATATTTTCATTTCATCCAAGCTTGTTTTAAAAGCTTCCTAGTTTGCTTCTTTTCTCTTCAATTCTCTTCAAGCTCTTCTCTTTTTATCTTTCTAGCTCTAAAAAGTTAGAATTTGTTGGTAATATGCCTTAGTCCAATTGGGTTGGCTATGGGATACATGTCATATTATGTAGTTCTATTGTTATCAAAAGTATTCTTTATTTATGAGATTATATGCACATAATTGATATTACTTTCATTTTATAGACAAAGTCCATGGAATAAATATGCTTTCCAAGGGAGCGACATTGAGAATGTAATTATGATATTATCATTGCATTAAAGCATTATTCCTAAATTGTTCCTAGTAGATGCATAGTCAAGAAAAGACATTGATAAAAGCTGTTGAGACCGGCACATGGTTATGCTCTTGCTTATGAAGCAAGTAACCAATCTCATAGGTTGAAGTTTGGTAAACTTGAGCTAACAAGTGGGTGCTTATTACAAGAACAAGTTCACTGAATATGACCTAAGATGAGAATGCTATGTGGTAGTTCACATAGTGTCTACAGCTACATTTTCATGTGATGGTTGTATAAACGATACTTTGACTTAAGATTACTTATAATATTATATGATGAATGTTGTACTTTGACTTTACTTTATTTGTGGTTCTAACGAAGAATGCTCTAGTCAAGTATTGTTGGGGATAAAATGAGGCGTATGAAAATGGATGAAGTAATCAAGATGGGATTCATTATTTTGTGTGAGAGTATCTCAATTAGTCTTGATTGAATTAACTTAAGAAATCTTTGGCCAAAGTGAAATAAGAGTTTAGAATTGTTTTAAAGCTTATTTATGAGTTAATATCAAGGGCAAAACTTAATGTGGTTGAACAAAATTTGAGTAAATACAAAACCTGCTCAATGTTCTAATAGAGATGCTTAATGATGAAAAGATTTTAATTATACATCAAGAACATGCACAGATAGGTTGTCAAGCTACAATGACATTGTTTAGAAATTAGGGGGTTATGATAACATAGCATCATGATCTATAACCATGAGATTGGCTAATTAAAGAATTAGTGATGAAGTTAAAAGGTTTGATTCATCTAAGTCCAAATATAAAGATTAATATGCTTTTATTTATTGCCAACATGCTAAGAAACCTAATGTGTCATAACTTATAGATCCATAAATCTATAGTTAGACTTAATAAGAAGAGTCATCACCAATCTTTTTTAACTAGGTGTGATTGGCCACCAAATGAATCTATCCTTCTAAGAGGCTCCTAAGCTTGACTAAGGGTCCCTAAAAGAATATGTTCTAGTTTACTAATTAGAATGGGATTTGAGAGTTTGGTTATATATGGGGAAGGTTATAGCACTCCTACATGCCTATCCAAATAATAGTACCATTTTATTTTAAATTATTCTAAAGTCTTGATTCTAATGGTCTTAAATTTTAATATTGAATATTGGAAATAAATTTTAAGATTCTCCCACATACAAAAAAATTGTTCTTTTGTATTTTTATAAACATTTCATATCAACTGTTTATTAGTATTCTGTATTGATAGCTATGTGTTCTTGGGATAGTTGAGATTGGTTTTGTGTTGCTTTTTATTTGTTCAATCGATATGTGAACATGTACCTTGGCATTTGAATATCAGTATCCACCTGTTTTTGGCTCTTACTATTGGTAATTTAGATTATTAAAAAAATAAATGTTGTTATCTATTTTAATTGTAGTTATAAGCTTCATGCTTAAATTAAGGGCTTTTTTTTCTCTCAAGAATTATGTT